CAATATCGATTTAAAATTATTAGCTTATAAATATTTAAAAATATATTAATAAAATTATATTATAGTGATTAAAAGTTCGATAATTCGTTATAGTAATGCCCGGAAAAAAAAAAAGAAAAAAAAGAAAAACGCGCGCCACGTCAGCAGCCACGTCAGCAGACCCAGTCAGCAGTCTTGACCAACCAGGACCTGCCACGTGGCAAAACCACGTCGACCGGGGACGGGCTACGTTGGCGATCTGCGTGTGCGCGATCGGACGGCCCAGATTCAATCAAAAAACGGACGGTCCAGATTAAAACAAAATGAACGGTTGAGATCAAAAGGCAAAAGGGTATAAATAGAACCCCCACACCAGACCACAAAACCCTAGCCGCCTGCCATCGCCGGAGAAGACGAACCAGAAGCCGGCCGCCGTCGCCCGCCGCCGCACCGAGGAGATTTTCGACCGCTGATCGAGATAAATTTCATACCTCCGACTCGTTTTTCCACGCTGATTTCCCCTGTGGCCAAATCGGAGCCAAAATTCCGGCCAAAAGCCAGCGGCGCTGCCGCGCCCCTCTTCGATTTTTGCCTCCGATGAAGCCCTTCCCGACCTCCGTTTGATGCAATTTTTATATCACTGTGATCACCATTCTTTTCTCTACAGGTTGACCGGAGCCGAATCACCAAAAGAAGAACCTCGTCGGAGAGCCGCCGCACCCGAGAGCACCGCTGCCGGTAAGCTTCTGTTTTCCATAATTTTTTGGCCCCCCGAGGGCCGTAGGTTTGTTTATTCACAGAAACCAATGCGAGTGTGGCCGAATTCGGCCGAAAACGGCCAACCCGAGGCGAATCGCCGCCGCATGCGGCGACGCTGTCGCTGGAGCACGGCGGAGCCGCCGTGCCGGAGTTGCGATATTGGCCGAAAGGGGCCCTGGACCTAATTTGGGATTTTTTGGAACACGTGCAGGTACCAGTAGTGCGTTTCAGTTCCCCGGAAAAAATTCAGAAAAAATTGGGGACAGCTTGTAGACGCACTGTGAAGCCGTGTTCGGACCCCTAAACGAGTAAGGACCCCTCACCTTATTTCCTATCACGGTATTAAAGTTCAATAATGATAAAACGGTATTTCTTGAATGATCGAATGTGTGAAATTGCTTAAGGTCGCTAATGGAGCCCGAGTCTTGTGTGTTTGTCGGTTAACTGTGATTTAGCCTGTTTTACAGTTTTAAATACAGTATGAGGTTTGATATTTTTATTTTATAGTTTCGTGTGCATATTTTACTGTTTTATTGATTATTGGTTGAATGACTGAAATACCGATGCTGTATGTTGTCTGTTTGGCATGAATTACTGTTTTGCTTATTTAAATGCGAATTGATGATGCTGATTGAGGAAAAGAAAAATGGAAGATTGTATACATTGATAATTGTGTAATGTGGTCAGCCTGACTAGATATCCTGGGAGATAGTGGACGGACCGGGTCCGTAGAGGACCCTACTGGGAATGCGGTCTCTCATACCGGACGGGGTATGGAGACCGTATGTGTTTTGGCGCCCATACCGGACGGGGTATGGGGACGGCCCGTTTCACCCTCATACCGGACGGGGTATTGAGGTTTATAGTTTTGGCACCCATACCGGACGGGGTATGGGGACGGCCCTGGAATCTGATTACAAGTATTAAGGGTAACGGGTAGCGGGACCCCTATGGATCCCCATGGATACTAGTAGGCTGGTGAATGAGGAAAAGTGATTGTGCAATGATTGAATTGCAAAGGCATGATAAGTATTATGTTACACAGTTTATATGATTTCATGATGATGATAATGTTATTACTTTCGTATATTGTTTTATGAATTTCACCGAGGTAAGTGAATGGTAAAAGATTTTATTATTGATAAATGAGTTTATTGTAAATTATGCTCCATTGGTCTTTTTGTGTTTTCTACCCATCTTTACCTCCGTGACGGTGAGATATCGTGATGTCCTTACTGGGCTAGTGTAGCTCATTCTTTATTTAATCATTTCAGATCAGGAAGACATTGTTCCAGAGCCCGTTCCGCAAGAAGACGACGAAGGGGACGCCTAAAGACTCCAAAGTCATAATTATAGCTTTACTTTCGAATTTCTCTTTTAGTTAGTCTGATCTTTTATATTTTGAGCACGTTTTTTCTGGTTTTAGTGTAAGGGATGTTAATCGAATTTTGATTTCGCTTCCGCATTGACATTTTTAATACACATATTTCATTTTAAATTTCCGGGGCTCTGATACCATTCATCGAGGTAAGTGAATGGTAAAAGGTTTTATTACTGATAAATGAGTTTATTGTAAATTATGCTCCATTGGTCTTTTTGTGTTTTCTACCCACATTTATCTCCGTGACGGTGAGATATCGTGATGTCCTTACTGGGCTAGTATAGCTCATTCCTTATTTAATCATTTCAGATCAGGAAGATATTGTTCTCGAGCCCGTTCCGCAAGAAGACGACGAAGGGGACGCCTAAAGACTCCAAAGTCATAATTATAGCTTTACTTTCGAATTTCTCTTTTAGTTAGTCTGATCTTTTATATTTTGAGCACGTTTTTTCTGGTTTTAGTGTAAGGGATGTTAATCGAATTTTGATTCCTTGGACAAGTTGGCAAGAATGTATATCCGGGAGATAGTCAGACTGCATGGAGTCCCAGTGACAGTGGTATCCGACAGGGACCCCAGATTTACTTCTCGGTTTTGGAATAGTTTCCAGCAAGCTATGGGAACAAAGCTGTCTCTTAGCACTGCCTTCCACCCCCCAAACTGATGGACAGTCAGAGAGGACAATTCGTACGCTTGAGGATATGCTCCGAGCTTGTGTCCTTGACTCCGGGGGCCACTGGGACGACCATCTACCCCTGGTAGAGTTTGCCTACAACAACAGCTACCAAGCAAGCATCGGCATGGCCCCATATGAGGCGCTGTACGGGCGCCCGTGCAGGTCACCGATTTGTTGGGAGAAAGTAGGCGATAGAAGATTGTTCGGCCCGGAGTTGGTAGAGGAGACCACGTCCAAG